AGGTCTCAGATCGAAAAGGGCCATCTTCTTCGATATTTGAAACATTGCTGTTCCTCATATGTGTCTAAGCTGTCAACGTATTCTCCATGTTCGTATATGGAGGTTTCGAGAACCTAAAATTAGAAAATCGGTAGGAAAGTCGCGTGTGATGGCAAATTCTGGAAGACGAAGGTCCAGTTGCTTCATTACGCCTTCAGTAATACAGCAATCAGTCTTAAATGATCGCTGTCCCACTTTCCCCCATGCCAGCGCACCTAAGTTTCGAGTTCCTCCTTCAGGACGCGACGGTGTGTACGGGACGTCGCAGCGTGGCGTAACGCGGAGCGGCGTAGTCTTTTCCGTCGCGCGTTGCGCGCCTCGCCTCCTGCGATCCTTGACATTTTCACTTCCTTCCTCCACTGAACTGAATCGCGAACCAATTTTAGAAAGTTTTGGATCCGTCGACCCCGCTGCCGCCAACATCGAGGGGGCCCAAGGAATACAAACGAGATCCTTCCGACAGAGATATCGCACAGTGGCGTATCAGAAAGTATTTAACCCTTGTTACTACGAAATCGTTCGGTTTATATTATAGACTAGCCTAAATCCGCGGCTCCGCTCGTGTGGAAGTATGTATATAGTTGCATTAATTTGAAGATTAGTTTCGGAGAACATATTTTAATGCAATATTATATAAATCTAAATGTCTCTCCAGTCTGTCAGCGTCACGTTTGAAGCACAATATGAAGAGATGTTAAAATTTATGCACTTACTAATAATTTTTACCCTGGTTTTACTTGAGAACGCATGGTCGAATTTACCTATAAAGTACCTGAAACCTCCTAAAACATGACAACCATACATTTTTTTGGAAACAGGTTCTAAGAAAAGTTTTAGGATAACAAAAGTTGTTTGTCGATGACCTCAATACGACCTCAAAATGACCTCTAAGGGAATTGACACTCTATCACTAACTCTAATCGAAGTAAGTCTTCTAATAACTTCCTTTCATATCACTCACATAATAGATTTCTGATAAGAAAAATGATAACACCCTAAACGGTGGAAGCTGGCTTTAATTATACCTCTCCATGAAATCATCAAATCTTACTGAACTTAAGCATCCTAGACGTATAGCTAACGATATAGAGTTCACTCGAAGTAGAACAAAATACCAGACAAATCTAAATCAAGACGATTACCCTAAGAAAACGAATATGGAGTTGCAGAGAATGCACGACTTGTTGCAATCGGACCAGCGACTGAGCACTTTCACCTCAGACACCTCATGTCAAATTCCATTAAGCCGTTTGAGCTGTATCCAGTGAAATAGATATTCCAAAGTAATTTATTAGGATAAAAAGTAGACTGTATGCTATTCCAGACCAGAATATATCTCTCTAACAAGTTCCACCCAGATCTGTTCAGCTATTTTGGCGTGATTGAGTAACAAACATTCCCTCTTTCTCGTTTATATATAGTAGGGATATGGTATTAGAATTACACAGCTCGTCGTCAAAGATAGTATAAATAGCAACACTCACTTGATGTCTGCCTAATGACGAGGCTCGATCTGTAATCTAACATCATTGCTTAACGTATCCTTACTGAATAACAATAACACTAAGCCAAATCAGCAAGCTACACTCCATATGATGGCCCAGCGTAACACTAGTGTAACAAATTATATCAGTATGGTTGTTATCCTGGATACTTTGTCCAGAAATCTAGCGAGCATTCGTGATATGTCAATACATGACGGAAACGATGTACTTCTCATTTTTGAACAAAACTTGTATTACACCGAGAAAAATAAATTTTCAGAACATCATTTTGCTTCAAATAGGTAAGCAGCCAAAGCGTTCTATTATTCGATGGAATTGTGCAAAATAAGCTTTGTTATGCTTAAACTTAAACATAAGATGCGTGTGACTATACCTACTCTTCCCACATTGTTCCCACCAGCTGAGCTATTTTGTCTGCTATGATTTCATTGCTAATAAAAAGACCTAACTGCAAGCAGTCAGTAATCATCGGGGTAACGTTATAATACCATCACTATCGTCAACAAAAGTCCTCACTCTGAAGGGAGCACCGGTGTAAAAAGCGTATTTGAAGTTATTCGGCATACAACAAGGAACTCTCGACCAAAGAGCACCAATACCTTCGAAGTTGTGACTTCTATACGATACAGAGCGTTTGAAAACTCTCATGCCTGCTGTTTGTCTCGCGCGATAGTGTGAAAACGAAGGTGCCCAAGGAAAGCAGATCAGAAGGAACTAGTGGCAATGCAATATAACTCACCTGTACAATAATGTTTTTTTATTGTAAATTGATCGTTAAGCTGAAAAAACACTTGTTTTACATTGGTAGAATGAGTTGCTTTTCAGGAAACACCTTTGTTTCAGTACGGTTCTGTACACTGGTACACAGCCACCCAAAAAATTCTAGGTTGCACCTTTCTTGATCAATATTTCTGATCTTTCCGATAATCTGCTGTAGTGTAAATCCATAGAAACAGTACTGGATCGATCCTTCTAAAGCGGCTCATCTGATCAAAGGCAAACAATACATTTTTTTAACTAAAATATTATTTTTGAACCAATATTACACAGGGTATAAGCAATATTTAAAAGAAAAACACCACGTAAGCCTAAGGACTAAACACTCGTGGGTACCGTGGGCATACACAGATTCTGTTAGGGCTAACTTTCCTGGCGATACAAATGAGTCAAATATTTTCCATGGATACCTACATATCCTCAAACTATACACCGTGGTTCAAACAGACAGAACTTTCCAGTAGGGTGCAGTCTGAAAAAATAAATTAATAGATAAATCCTTAAAAAAGGTCTGCAAACACAAAAGTTCTGCACTTTTTCCAGATAAGTATGATAGAGCCCCCTGGAAAGAACATCCTAGGGACACAAAAACAAGTAAATGCGGATATTTTTAGTAATTTTCATCCTTTAATACCTGCAGAAATTCTGGATTCAATCTTAGAAATAATGAAGGAAATTTTCTCCTACAATTCATCCCTATCACTCACATCAGACCATCTATTTCCGAAGATCTACCCTTACATCTGATGACGAATGCCTACTGCATTGGAAAATCAAGATAACGTCTAAAACAAAAACAGGCATTGGGAATGAGCAAACCGGAAAATTTATTTTCCCGGTGACAGAACTTCGGGTGTGTACAGTTTATGGAAACAATTCGACCCTATTTATTCTGTTCCTTGAGTTGAGAACAGCTCTTCGCGGCAGGCTGAGATATTAGCTACAAATCATTGAGCTCATCAGTATGCGGTGTTGCCGAGTCTGCTTTCGATTTGGGCGATTCGGCGGCAACGCTTTCTTTGAACCACAGGTGGATGAATGATATATTTGTAGATACAACATGATTTCTGTAGATTTCAACCTCCACTGCAGATCTTATATTGCTACAGTATTGATACAACCGTAGCATAGTTATTGATCGTTTAAACAGAGACTAAACCACAGCTGTTAACCTTAGAAATGATAGGTTATATGCTTGAGTGTCACACTAGAATATCAAGAAGCTACATATGACTCTAGATGGAGAGATAAGCCAGTACGAGTTTAAAAGTAAAACAACTTTTGATGCTGTGCTGGAAAATATGTCATTTAGAAAATTATCAGATGAAATTTTTGCATTCTATCTTTCCTTACTCGTTTTCAACGTCAAGAGTGCTGCTTGACCAGGATGGAATGGTTGTAACCGACTCAAAGGCTAAGGCGGAAGTAGTTGCGAAGATCTTTGTTACTAACTCCACCGTCGAATCCAAGGGGTCCCTGTACAAAGCGGGAAGCGAGCTTCAGGCGTAAGACAATGCTCTTTTCGCTCGACGTCAACAAAGCTTCTGGTCCGGACTTGATTCCAGCGGTTTCTACTGGATACAGATGTCTAGGAATCCGGTACTTTCCCAGTAAACTTGAAATTTGCTCATGTTCAGCCCACCTCAAAAAAGGATCCAATACTGACCTTTACAACCGCGTCTCTTTCTCATGGATCGGCCTTGTCTCCCACCTTGTAGATCTCATATATCAGCGACCTCCTTTCCTGTACGATTAATCCGATCCACAGCTTTGCCGATGACAGCTCTCCGCATGCAGGAATTCGGAGTTCTAAGCTGATCTTTGCCGGTGAACTGGAGAGAATAGGACTAGCAGCCACTTCATCTCTAACAAGAGACCTAAAGGTTATCACTGCTGGGGACGCAAAATTCTGGAGCAGTCTAATGCTTCCGAAACACATTCCTGCACCGTGACTAATAAGAAGCACCAAGGGCCAAGAAGTACCCTTTCTCATAACCTCCTTATTCTGTACAATGCCCAGATAAGACCCAGCCTCAAGTACTACTCACATGTTTGGGGTACTGCCGCCCCGACTACATTGTCCATGCTCGACGCTGTTCAGAGGACGGCGGTCCGACTAATGTCTAATGGACAGTCTTACGACCCTCTGTATCCCTTATCTTCCGCTATGTCAAACCTGACTTCGTCCTCCTATCCTAATCGTGTCGAACTTCGTACATCCAGAACTATGCTGGTATCGCAGCACCTTTGTCCTTAGGGTATTGAGATTGTGCAACAATCTGCCTGAGGATGCTTTTGCCAGTTGTACTAACCTCAGGCAGTTCAAAAATCGGATTAAGAAAATGTGTCTAAGCTCCTCGTAGCTCCCGCGGTTCCCTGGCATTTAGACTTCTGCCTGCGCTGCTGCTTCTGCATATAAAAAATATTATTGTCCTTCGGTATTAGAGCAGGATATCATAATAGTTTGGTTTTTCTATAGACTATACGGTTTCAAATACTGTACTGTTAAAACAGAGTAAATGTAGGTTATTTTCCACCGAAAAGCTATGTTTATTAATATTGACATTTCTCTTCTGACCGAAAGGTCAATTTCCAGGATTGTACCCGCCCCTTCCTGTAGCAACCCCTTGTATAAAAGCGATCAGCCCCAGTGAGGGCTGGACGGCAGGAGGATCAACGGTCATCATAGTCGGAGACAACTTCTTCGATGGACTGCAGGTGGTGTTTGGAACCATGCTAGTATGGAGTGAGGTAAGACCTGTTATGCCTTGTCTTAAATATGCGTATTGAAGTCGCAATATCTTTGAAAGATTCGATTGTAAACTATTGACTGAGAGCAACATCTTTGTGCATGGTTGCACCAAAGATTTGCTCACCACAGAACAGTGCCGTGACACAAGTCCATTTACATATTGCTTTGTGCACTGTATTGTTTTCTACTTCATTTTGGTGCATTAGTTGTGTTCACTAAAATGAACTGGTTATAGTAGTTCGCAAACGAGCTATTTTTCGCAAAAATACCTCATAACGCCAGATAGTTTATGCATATATAGAGATGAATATTTTAATGAACCGCTTTCACCGATAACAGAGGATCCCCTGGAGTGGTAGCAGGAAAGAGCAAAAGTCTATTCCGACATGGCTAAAAAACGCTATAAGAATAGCGACATCGGTGCAAAGTGAGCAGGTTTTTCGAAGTCTGAGTAAATCATTAAAAAGAAATAGACTAGATGCCGATAAGGCAACAATGTTTTAGAAATTTGTAATTCACCTACATATCAATTTTAGTATTGCTTTAATTTCTTCATGATCATATCCAGATGACCAGTTATGCAACCTTCTGCCTATTTGGTTGTCTACGGAACTGTGTCTTGTCTACTATCTCCTTTTTGGTTCGTTTACTCAGAACTATACCCTAATCGTAGTTCATTTACGCCCCGGCACAACAAATAGGCAGCGCGGCAAAACGGCAGTCGCCTAAGCGTTGCAATAGCGTTAACATGCCGCCTACGGATACAGCAGATGAAACTGAGAATATTTCTCCCAATGCTTCCTTCAGCCATGCCTCTTCAGTGAGAAATTGTCTAAAATCAACAAAGAAATACCGCGACCAGGGCAGGAAGATTTATTACTTGGATGAATCCTGGATAATTGCAGGACCTAAAGTATGGGCTGACTCTTCAATTAAATCAGCAATCAGCTTCCTAGATGGACTAACCACTGGCCTAAACAATCCGTGAGGCACATGTATTTAACCAATTTTCGTCATTTTTGTGTCGAGTAGACTGAATCTTTGAGCCCACGCTAAAAACTTAGCTACACTAAACTTAGCTGTATCTAGTAGATTTGGAACCAACACCTGTTATATACTCTGCTTGTATTATTATTAGTTTTCTTGAATACTACATTAAATAATTATTTCCAGGAAAAGGAAAATGATCTTTTATCTGCCCCAATGGCAGATAAGATGGCTTTGCGCCCACTGCCCTACGGGCATTTGATTCAAAGAAAACGACCAAATACCTTGAAGAAATGGACGGAAGTTCATTTGAACGATAGTTTGAAGAAACGCTTCACGACAATGCCGTCATTGTACTTGATAATGCTGCATACCACACTAAAAAACTATAAAAAATTCCGCAACAATGGCTCCTATCAAAAGACATTAGTTTCAATGAAAATATGGTCAAAGCAGAACTTATTCATCTAGTCAGGCAGCACAAATGTAAATATAATCTTAATGTTATTGACAAAATGGCTAAATATCAAAATAAGGCCGTTTCAAGGCTTATCCCCCCTTACCACTGTGAATTAAATCCCATTGAAATGATTTGGTCAAATATAATAAAACTATGTGGCTTCAAACAATAGAACAGCCAAATCTTCAACAGAGTGACGGCAAACCATTGAAAAGATTGCATCCGTCACGTTCAAGAGACAATCGAAACAAAGATGTGGGATTTGGACAATATGAACGGTACTCAAATTGAACCTGTAATAATCAATATTAACCATATGGACGATGATTCAAGTACTTCCAGCGAATAAAGAATTGTGAAAACTATGTGGACTTGTTTCTATAAAAATAATCATTTATTTCTTTAGATTATTCCAAGACCATTGAGGAACCTGTACAATCTCGCTTTTCGGCATGTTGTGCTTTGTCTGGACGTAAATGGACTACGAATTGAGTATAGTGACTTTGATCATCCGTATACTGTAATACCAGTCATAAGTGGTGAATGGGTAACGAGTTTCTTGACAAATGATATACTAGTTAACTTAGTCCAGTCATAAGAATCGTTCGTTTGAACTAGCTTGCTAACTTCACATCATTATTGTAGTAGTGCTGCAGCAGAGCTAGTGACCACAGAGTAAACATACATACCACTCTCTGATGCAAACATGTCCATTTACGCATTTTATGTAATATGTCTAATTTTTTACAGTTTGTGAATAATACATCGAACGTGATATTTTCGGAAACACTGATCGTTCAACTGAAAAAATGTATTGTTCCTAAAGATCCACAAAATTCTAGATCTACAGAAAGGTCTTCAAAAACATACCACTCTACTAAATGATTTTATATATCTTATAATTTATATTTTGGTGTTATCGGGTCACTGACAACTTGGTGACGACCAGCAATATTGGGTCCAGTATGACAATTGATAAAACTGTACTGAGACAAAGTTAGTTATATCAAACATGGTTTTTTATCACTTTTAAAAAAGCGCACATAATTTAGTTAAGGGTTTGAGCTATACAATTCAATTAGCGATGACCAAACCATTCCGCTCTGCAAAACGGAAGTACTATTCCTGGAATGAATGGGATTTTTATATACCTAACAACCTAAAATTTCCAAGTTACTTAATTACTTAATGACTTTGCTCTTTTCTTCCAGTTGATAACACCTCATGCGATACGAGTCCAGACCCCTCCACGGCATATACCGGGTGTTGTGGAAGTAACGTTATCGTATAAATCGAAGCAGTTTTGTAAAGGAGCGCCGGGTCGATTTGTATACGTATGTAAGTAAAACTATATTACCAATTTTCTGGCAAGCATATAACATGATGACTTTTTATAGCACTGAACGAACCAACGATAGACTACGGATTCCAGCGGCTTCAAAAACTAATTCCCAGGCATCCTGGGGATCCAGAAAAATTACCAAAGGTAACCCATTCTTATATTTTTTTCATTGCCGGATATCTTATCAATACACCATGTTTAAAGGCAAAAGAAAACTGAAAATGGTTATTAAAAGCCTTCTTAAATCTACACAGAAATGGATATTCGCAATGCTTTTAAAAGTTTCGCACTTAATATAAATGCTAGAGCCATGCAAGGAGCTTTCAGCTTTGAAGTCTGGCCCTGTGTGTCAATTCATAACTTTTTTATGATTATTGATTTTTTTAGTCTTGTGGTACGACAGTGAGGTACAAAAATGATAGAATACCGCATCTTACGCCACTTTAAATTAAAAGAAACAGTTCAGATTAGCGCAAAATGAGTAATATTATCTTAAGTAAAACGTAAAGTACTAAAATGTTTTTCTCTCCTTTAACAGGAAATAATTCTGAAACGAGCCGCAGACTTGGCGGAGGCGCTGTACTCGATGCCGCGCAACAACCAGTTGTCACTGTCAGCGCCAAGATCACCGACCATGCCCAACAACGGCATGGCTTCGACCTTCAACGCATACGCCGGCCAGCTGGCCGTCACGGTCCAGGACACCGGAAACGGTCAGTGGAGCGAAGGTGCTTATTCTCCTTCATCCTTATTATTATAATACATATAGTTGCTCGTAACTGGTCTCTGCATTACTAGGATCACCTTTCATGTTCCTAGAAGTTCCATCTTACAGTCTCCCCAAAGTCAGAGAGTGCTTATAAGGTGCCTGGCATCCAGTCACCTTGAGGGCCCTTCCTCCCCGGATGCCATATGTATGTCGTCAGCAACCGTATCTTATTAAATTTTTGGCAACCTCCTGACGTAAAGTATATATACTATATATTACAAAAGATTAAGTCTACTACAGATGCAGAGCGAGGGCTCTCAGCCTAGATCCTGACTACCCAACGATTTTCCTAAATGCTGATCCTTCCCAATTTCACTCACCTTGCTGCTACGATATTTGGATCTGCTTATACGATTCCTTGCACTTGATGCCCATGTTCCTTCATTGTCTTTCAGTAACATAGCACTTTGTACGCCACCGCTCACACAGGTGTGCATTTGTATGTGTGGATTTTCACTATGTGGTAGTGTACGATGCATTACGTCACTTTCTTCCATCTCTCTTCATATCAGCATCTCTATGACGTGAAGGTTGGAGCGCAGATGACCACCACTATTGCTATGGACCTTTGTACTACTTAGCTCAGTTACCCGTGAACGCTACCTCTCGCAACGGCCATTTTGCCTCCATTTTGGCTAAACTACAGGACTATTTAGCTAGCATCAGCTCAATACTTAGAGCATAAGTTATATAAATCACGGAGGTGAATGCCAACTGAAGGGAAAAGAAGGGAAGAGCAGACTTTCGCTCGTCTCTTTTACACATAAATAACGTCCACATGCTGGAACGTCGCTAGTGATGCGACGCATCACATTTGATGTCTTCAGTTGACAAATCTTGCACCGTTGCTATTACCGTCGCTTTGCTTACTTGATACCTAGGATGAATTCTGCGTTTCATATCAACAATTGCTCCTCATAGAAAAGACTTTCCACGTAAATTTGGTTCCCTTGATCGACGCGTAATTTGTTAAGCCGCAATTGCAGATTAACGAAGTTGTCATGTCCGCCTTATTCATTTCTTTTCTATATGTAGCTTTTACAACATAGCCTTCCCGTCATATCAGTGTCGTGCAAACGTGTACCTTATATTACATGATACCACAAAAAGTAGTTAGACCATGTATTGCTTATTGCAGAACTGTAAGCTGGTGTTGCGGTGTGTAGACAAAGGATCCTGTCAAACTATTAATTTTCATAGATCAAAAAGTAGTGATTCCACGACTTGATTACCTGTTTAAGCTCATAAATAGGAGATTTCACAGTCATTGTAATATAATGTAATTTAATTTCAGTCACATTACCCTTAAGTGAAAGTCTGGGTTGGAGAGTCTGTAGCAGTAATACTGTGTGGGCCAGGATGGAATTATGGGTACTTGAAACGTATATTTTTATTGAATAAATAAAACTTTCTATACTAAGCTTTGGACTACCCCGGCAGTCCTTCTTGAACCACATGAAAAGACTTCTATTGAAACTCTGTCTACGGACTTTTGTTTCTTGATTTCACAAACTCTTTCCAGTGCCTGAAGTTCGAGCATTAACACGTTGAGGTATTTAATAAATATCCTACTATGACTATTACAGAGTTTTGGTAAAACACGCGAAATGATTTAGTAAAACCAAAAATAAGTCTAACAAGTTCCCCACCTCGCATCTGTATGCCTACACACCCTCTAGCAGCCCACCTGAGCTCAGTGCCATACTGACCGGTTGCCTTCACCTTAGGCTTTTTCTTTTAGACGACTACGGAGGAGGAGGCGGTACTACAGGAGGGGGCCGCACCCAGAGCAGCAGCGTCTCCCCTAGAGGCGGGTACTGCTCGAACGCGTCCACCCCCCACTCTACCGGAGGCGGTTCCTATGCGAGCGGAGGCGGAATGAACGGATACGGCGGAGCCACCCCTACCAGTACCACCGGGTGTGGGAATGGATCGCCTACTGCTGCCGGGGCAACTGGAGGGATTTTTAATGGTGAGTTTTCACAATAATTAGCTGTAGTTTATTTCTTATGCAGATACTACGTGCTAAATCACGTTTTTTCAATAACTCTGGCTACCACAAATTTGTTCTTGTTGTAGAAGCTTGTCGTCGGAGCTTTATGATATATGGAATCACAGATTTTATAACCCTCAATAAGGTTATTATAGTACATCCTTGACATGCAAATGCCTGTATGATTCCAGCATTCAAAATTATTGAATTTATGAGTATGCTTGTACAATTTTTTAACGCCTTGCTTATAACCTTCAGCTTCCTGCCACTACACAAACACAAATAACAACACCGATTCTTCTACCAGTTCATCAGACTTGTCCAGAGAAAAAAGTGCATTTGCCCCTGTAACCAGATTAGGAGAACAACCCACCACATCACATTCTTCACACCAAAATCAGCCTGCGCCTGCGCTTTTCCATAATCAATCACTCAACGGCTGGCACTACCTTGCTGTCCAATGTTAGTACAGTTGATTTTTTTTTCTTTTTTTTTCTTTTCAAAAGATTTATGCCTGCATGCATTAACTTTCTGGTACTATATCCAAATAGAAGAGTGTAACGACACGTATCATATAGCAGTGTCTTTTTGAGTATGATCAGCTTCGTGCACAAATATACAAGCATGCGGTAGATTACGCTGTTCTCTTTCATTCGGGTACTTGAAGACAGTTGCATGATATAGATTTGTTATTCTTGTCAAGGACAAAAAACAAACATTCGCTTTCCGCCTGCTTCTACAGCAAACAGGAACTTTTGCATGACTAGTTTATGATTCATATTATTTCTTTTTAATTACGATGATGAAGTGATCCTCAAAATAAGTATATCGAAATAATTTCTGATACAATTTATATTACATTAGGTAAAACATATTATATAAGGGCCGATCAATATAACCCCATGCATTTTCTTTGCCTCCTTCTATTTACTTTCACCATCAAAACATTATTCGTACTCAAACTCTTTCATTATATGAACACTCATTTGCCGCAGGGCAACCGCAAAGATCTTATAGGTACAGCAAAGTATCAAAACGCACAACTCATCATACATCATTGCAATAGTATTTCTTACTGATTGAATGGGAGAAAAAAACTGCCCTCAAAAATTTGGGAAATCATATACAAATGGATGGCACGATAAAGCATAAGGACAGCTAAATCGTGCCCTCCAGATGTGGACCAACTGTGTCGCAACCGCAACTGCAATCCCGTCCAACAATAAAGCCGAATATTTTGATGATATACAAAGAGAAATTTTGAGGTTAACAGTGGCGTACGACAGGGTGCACTTTTTCACATTTTATTACTTCATCTGACTCTGCAGAGTTCGGGTACTTACTGAAGTGCGAGTGGGAACATCTATCGCGCTCAAGCTTCTGCCTTTTTCTGCCTTGCCTATGTTGTTCTTGCATATGCCTAGCATGTACGGCTTGCGATACTCCTTCCTTCCATGTAAGCCTGGTTGTTCATATTTTCCTAAGTTGAGGGGGTTTCCAATATAGTTATTTTCCTAACAAGTATGGATAGTCATGCTTTCTCGCTCGCAACTGCAGTGGAGTTCGGAGAAGGCACTTTGCATAAGAGTTAGGAACAACATGTTTTCTACCAGCGCGTAACAAGTAAAAACAAAAATTTTGTTGTAACAATTGAAATGATTGAATGAAGTATTTTAATAACAAAGAACTTAAGCATAAATAAAATATTTAGTTCCTCTATCATATAAATCCAACCGTATCCCTTCTGTAGTGCCTATGATGTTTATTAGAACCCCCGTTGTTTCTAGAATGTATTAATTTGTTGATTCTTTCCGGCTTTGTCACAATTTTGTTTTAAACATTTAATTTAAGACTAATTCCAGACGTTTTCTTTCCAGGAATGTCCCTAGTGTCATCACCCTTCGCCTCAATGAACCCGTTTGCACTACCGCCCTGCAGCTCGCAATCATCCGTGTACAGTTCCGCCTTAGTGGGCGGCAAATAACGGGCGGCCCCCCTAGGGGCGGGCAGTGCCAGTTCGTGCGGATCCACCCCACCCCTGGCCTTCTCCGACTGATCTCATCTTCGACGATTAGCTAAAAACTTTGATTATAGGTGACGCACGGTGGCACAACTTTTAATACACTTTGATAAATCCATTCTAATAACTTTTGATACGTGTCCACAAATCCGCATGGAGGTAGAACTATTTTGCACTAAACGTATTTCAGAATTCGTTATTAAATATTTGTACAAGCGCATCCAGGAATCTGATCAGGGTCGGCAACATCAACATTGAAGATTATAGATTTGGTTATTTAGGTGGAAGTACGTGATATGTGATACACAGAACGCACATTCGCCAAGATACCAAAATATGTAATGTTAATATCCAGGTTACTTTCATATCAGTCCATCGACCCCCAATTCTGTGTTTAGGTTCATGTTCAGCGGGAAAAAACACATAATAAAACCATATAGTGGTACCTCCAGCACACCACTTTTTTGTGGACCTGCTTAGCTATACAACTTGCAATCTATCAAGTGTCCTGCTTTCTGAAATTGAAATATTAAGCGTTTGAATATTTTGCATCCTGTTGGATATTAATTAGGTTTCAAATATTTTAATTATAGATACTCGTCAAGCCATTTATTGAAATTTATGGAAATGTAAATAAGTTGTGCTTCTGTGACATATACAGGGTGTTTCAGAATCGATCCTCACCATTGGGAACTCGGAAACTGTAAGAGATATGAAGTCACTTAAATGGGGGCAAAGTTGGATATTTGAGCAATCAACAAAGTGCCCCTTAGAAAGTTCCGAAATTCAAAGTACTTCCGGAGAGAGATGGAAAAAACGAATTTTCCCAAAATCGTTTGAATTTATTCCTGATTTTATTTGTAGTGGGGTTTTAAAATAAATTGCATAATAACATTGCCACTTCTTCTGCTCTACAAGATTGCTTATCTAGAACTTCAATATAATATTTTGTCCCTTATCTTCCAGCATCAACTTTATTTTTCCTAAAGGACACCATATTAGATTTTTACACAGATGAATGGAGTTTTCTGATTCCAAAAATGTATAACTCGTCATACATTCACATTGTCAAACGTTAGCTATTTCAAAAAAGGTAGAATCTCCTAGTTAGGCCATGAAATTATCAGATAGTCATTTGGAATAGAAGATTTATCCCAAAATCACTTTTATTTTTTCCCAACCATACTTAAGATGGGGTTCAAAAATAAATTCCATGTCAAAGTTGCCACTTTTTCTCTTCCAGAAGATGGCACAATTAGAACTTCATTATGACGTCGCATGTCCTCCAGCATCAGCATTATTTTTTCTTTTGAACGCCATGTTGTATTTTTGCGTAGATGAATAGAGCATGCAATTTTGATTTAAAAAATGTGTAATATATATATATATATATATATATATATATATATATATACAATTACTTGTTAATTGGGCAATTGGCAAAACTTTTAGGCTTAAGTTGACTCTTTTGACGATAAAATCAAGCTTTCGGCATTCTCTATGGAGCCATCATCAGGATTTCGTCGGTGAGGTTGCAGCCACAAGGTGTTTCAGAAAGAACGTAGAGAAGATCGAACTTGTGTTCAGTATAAAAACAAAAGGACGGGGACATTGGGCTTGTTAAAAAACAACAGATACCTTCGTTAAAAGTTAAGAAAAACTAAAAATTATATCAATACACCCGAACAAGTTAAATATATATATATATATATATATATATATATATATATATATATATAATTTATCCGAATATCATTTATTTCGTATACCAGACCAGACCTCGAATTGAACGCTGCCATTATTTAACTCTGCTTCTTTATTATTATTACCATCAATCAAATTTTTGTGTTCAAGTTTCACCACACCTTTTCATATCCTGATAATTTTGATCCATCAAAAAATTCATAGCCAGGAAATATATCACTCAATTTAGGACCGAAAAATGTACAAAATTCCATTATAGCGTCCATATATGGAAGTCGAAAGAAGAAATATCGAATTGAAAATTTGACTACGCCGTCTTATAGAGGAGAGAAAGTGACAATAATAACATGCAATTCATTTTGAATTCCCATCTCAAATGAGTCCAGCAAAAAATAAATATTTTGAGATAAATCTGGTATGCGAATAAAATTAAATCTGATCATTTCAAGGCGTACCTAGGAAATTCTGCTTTTTTGAAGTGCCTAAAGTTTGGCAATATCAATACATTTCTCGAATCAGAATTGAAAACTCTATTCATCTGTTCGAAAATCCAATCTCTAATATCCATAAGCAAAAATAAAGTTGAAGCTGGATGACAGGAGACGAAACGATATATTAAAATATATCGAAATGCTAATTATACCATCTTGTAGAGCAGAATAGGTGGCAATGGTAATGTGCAATTTATTTAATAATCCCACTACAAATGCAGTCATGGAAAAATGAAAACGATTTTGGGAAAATTCGATTTTTTCCGTCTGTCTCCGGAAGTACTTTGAATTTCGAAACTTATTAAGTGGCATTTTGTTAGTTCCGTAAATACACATCTTTTCACCCCCATTCAAGCGACTTCGTATCTCTTACAGTTTCTGAGATCCCAGTGGTGAGGGTCGAACTTGAAACACCCTGTATGTCATTTTTGGACTAACCAAAGGAATATCCACTTTTGTGATAGCATTTTGGTCATGGATGCATTTTTTTGGCGCTGTGTAATTCATAAATTAATTGTCAGTGCAATAAAAAATCGATGTTTTCTCGTACTTGATATTCGTATATGTAAATCCAAGGGATTTCCTGCCAGGCAATAGGATTTCATCCTTTATTCCGGATCCCGATAGGACGACACACATTTCATGTCAAATTCTATGGCGGAAGGCCAGTCTCTAAGTGCAGAGCGCGGAAAAGCTACGAACTATTACAATAACCTACAAAACATATCTTTTGGGGAAAAATATTGGTATCCTGTCGAAATAAGACTTCTAAAAATTACTACATCGAGCTTCTTTCCTTCAGAGTTTGCTGAACATCAGACACACAGAAATGTCCCCAAGAATTACTTTATGGCACTTCTTGCCAAGCTGAATTACTTTCCATCAGAATGCATCCATGTCTTCAAAGATCCCAAACGTCTGGTGATACTTTGTTGTAAAAACAATCCATTTCAAATTCGTAAATACCCATTGATCTGTGATCAAGAGCGACACTTATGAAAAAAGCTGTATAGAAACAAGGTAATCGCATAAGTGCTTACATTATGTACAAAGTAAGGTGTAGAAAATGTTGTTTTGAATATTAGCATATCTGAGTTCAAGGGGTGTACATTCTGAGTTACAGTTTCACCATATTTCAAATTTACGATGGAAACATTCATTTTTTTTAATTTACAACTCCTCGAATATATTTCTCACGTTATGACTTGTCTGGCAATGAAAGAAGCTATTAGACCCAACTGAGTTAAACAACATATACTACAATCTTTTAAAATAAGGTGAGACTGTAAATGAAGGAATACCCCATAACCAAAAAAATATACATATCTCTTTCGAGCTGGGATTTCCAAATTTAATCATAGGTTTGTATATAGAAACGACGATCTTGTATAAAATTGTAATATATATCAGGTGACGTTATAAGAAGGTTTAACAACGACTACTTAACTATATTTTGTAAAGTATCATATCGTAGACTAAAATCATTTGGTAGAGCTGTAAGAAAATTTCTGTAGACCAGATAAACAGCAATATACTGCATTAATAGTGACATCTTCGTAGCCTAAAACTATGAGAGTAGCATACTATTTTTGAAAGACAACCAAAATTTGACTTGAGGCATTAATATTTGAGCTAAGACATGCATAACATTGCCGAGAGAGCATCAAAATTGAGGACATAGTAGGTCTGTTGGCAGAGCGTCACATTAATGTAGTTTAGTTACAAATACTGTACGTGTCTTTTGAAAACGCATAACTAAGAGGAATCACAAAGTATACGACGAAAATATTACGAAAATTCATACTTTTTACTAAAATGCTCCATTATTTTTGTTAGGTACAAGATGATAAAATTCTATAAATATTGTGAAAGTTTCATATACTCAAAAATCAATTAAACTATCATCTAAAGATAATTTTTTGTGTCTTCATTGTCTCAAAATGTATTATTTGTAAATAATGTTGTTTTTATTTCTGAGTTTTCATTTGATTGTACCTATCTCAAAGTGCAAATTTTATATTTATTTCGTTATTGTGAATTTAAATGTTTTTTATTATTATAGATGTAATATAAAATTTATAGTATACACCAAATGTTTCATTAAATTTGGATTCCGTTGTTCCTCCTTTACCTATAGTTGTTAGCTGCAACAACACGGACTAGGTTCGGAATGTGAACAGGACTTAACTTTTGATAACCTAAATGAGTCTAAATCAGATTAGCTCACTATAATCGCAATTTTTACCTAAGTCTGACTCAGCAGTATGCAGTTTTTTGTGTGAATACATATGTATACCAGCTAACTCTGATAATTCTTCGTCTAAAGGGTTCTTCAATGCATACAGGTGGATATCCACTGCATTAATAGTGACATCTTCGCAGCCTAAAACTATGAGACTAGCATACTATGTTTCAAAGACAACCAAAATTTCACTTGAGGCATTAATATTTGAGCTAAGACAGGTGTTAGATATATATCTAAATTAGAAATTTAATCCTTAATCACCTTTGTAGAATGTCTTTAAATGAGAATCAATTGTTAGCTGGGCGGTTGACTGGTTAGCGCGTCGAGCTATTAATCTGTCCGAATCTAAGTCTCGGAAGTTAATTGTGAGCCATAGATGTTGTGTTGTGTGTTCTCTATAGCACGAAGCAGATCGGTGTAAGGTCAACAAGGATACCTATATCGCATCACTGGAGCTGGTTTATTCAATATACAGGGTGGCGCATCCAAAACGAAACAAACGCATTTACTGGCAGCTCAGTTTTTTTTTAAAAACGCTCAGACACGTCGATTTTGTTTTCGAGGGGGACACAAGTTTGGCAAAAAATCACGTTAGCACTTGCAGCCCCCTAAGAAGGGGGGATACAACACCCCAAAATCTTAAATGGAAAGGGGGATCGAGTGATACCTTATTTTAAAGGTCTTTCAATTTCCTTTATAATGATATAAAATTAATGTACTTCAGTTCAGTAGTTTGAAGATTTGTTGATTTAAAGCTTAAAGAAAACTAATACATCACCATTAGTGGAGATCAATACATTTGGCTGCAAAGTAATTTAAAAATGAAGAATGAACTGGCCCGTTAGGCAAGTAAATGTTGAAAATGGCCACCATGTCTCTCCATGCAATAATAAAGATTTTGCTCAAAACACTGCCGCACATTTTGCAATATTTGAGGAGTAATTTAAAGGCACTCATTCACAGTTCTTTGTCGCAGGTCTTCTAATGATGTTGGCTGAGTAGCATAGGTTTTGCTTTTTAAATGAACCCACATAAAGAAATCCAAAGGTGAAAAATCTGGCGATCTTGGAGGCCATTCAATGGCATCTCAATCCATCGATCTGGAAACGTCTGATCTAAATATTGTCGAACACGT